GCCAGGCTGCTGCGCTGGAGTTTGGCGCTGCAGCCTTTTGACTTTAATATTCAGTACCGCCCGGGTAAACAGAATGGGAATGCCGACGGGTTGTCGAGACAAACTGACCTGGAAAAATGATCCGTGAGTCCCCGGAGATCCCCAAGCCGATCCGTGTTGGATCAGACTGTGTATGCCGGCTTGTGGGCAAGGGGGAGCAGTGTAGCGGATGGCACTGGGCTGTCCTGCAGATGTCCTTGAAATAATTGCATTCGTGAGATCTGCTAGTTTTCTATGTGTTTTAAAGCCTTGTATTCTTTTGATTGTTCGGTAGTTTCATTCCCTTAGTTTATTCGAATGAAACTACCGAACAGCCAGACCTCCCCTGTGTAAAGTGTGTCCTCAATTACCCGTTGCAACATTGTTGCGAACGGGTAATTGACTAGGAAGTAGCCGTCCTTTGTTCTCGGGGGTGGCCGCCATTCGACAAACGAACACGTGGCGGCGGCCATTTTAAAACTCCCGAACAGCGGTGTTTTGCCGTCGAGTGTCTGGAACTAAAATCGGACACTCGAGTAGGCGAACACCGCTGAGACCTCCACAGCCCTGGTCCGTTCGGTTCCAAACTACCGAACGGCCCCTCGTTCGGTAGATAGAAAATACCGAACGAGGGGATTCAGGCGAACCCTCCCTAGCCTCTATAGCTAGAGGTTTTCGTGTATTTTATTCCCTTATGCCAGGACCGACCGCAGGGCCCATTCACATGGAACCGGATTCGGCTATCTCAGTTCGTGCGGTCGGTCATTTTATTCCCTCCATACTTTTCCCGAACCCCTGGTCTGATCTGGGTGATTTTTGGATATGTTGTTCACCCAGATCAGGGCTACCAGGGGATGTATGATTTAAAGGGGTACCCCTACGTTTAGGGGTACATCCAGAAACGGGGGGAATTGGTGTGCTGGATAAGGGGATTATGATGCTGGCTGAGGGGAGGGGATGTGTGGGAGGTTACCAGGACAGGATTGGCTACTGTAATAATTACTGTAAATCCCTCCCTTGCATGGGAGCATGCTTTATAAGGAGACTGTGATTAAAGGCTTGTCAGTTCTGCTCCTGAAACTGTGTGTCGTCCAGTTATTGGGATTGCTGTGGGGAGATTGCTGTTATTTTTACCTGCTGGAAACTTTGCCTATGGATTTATTATTTACTTGTTCCTGAGCCTCACTTGGATTACAAGCGGAGATAACCTGTGGAATATTGCATCTCCGCTACATCGGTATTGGCCAATATCGATATTGCTGAAAATACAGAATATCAGCCGATAATATCGGCCAGACAGATAATCGGTCGATCCCTATTATTAACTTAAAAACTGAGTGTAAAGTCCACACTCCTTGCTTTCGGCAATTCAATAATTATTTATTAATAGAGGCTAATCAAACAAATAAACAATACATATACCTTTGAAATAGGATAGTATATGTTGCTACCAAAACTAGTGATTGAATGGAAAGTAAACTAAATTAACATAGTGAAGCAGGCATAGACATGCCATACAGTTACCACTCCATTGATCATCAGCTGAGGTTAAGAGAGAGCTTGTGGTATTCACATGGCCTTTCACCAGGCAAAACCACAGGTTTGTAAATGTGTTAATACAAGGTCTGACTTTTTCATGAACAACCAATTCTTGTCAAAGCGTGTCCTCAGATATACTATGCTCTATTAATTGTGGACACAGGGTTATGTTCAGAGTAAGTAATAAAGGTAGTAAAGTTAAAGTGTTGTGTATAACTTATAAACACCACTAGATGGCACCTACAGGTATTACCCTGACATCCAACCCAACTGTTAATCCACAGATCTCTATGAACATTGGCAAACCTATTTATTTATGGTCCTTGAAGGTTTGCGTTATGATCTTAGATAGATTTTTCAGTTTTCATAGACAAACACACACAATACCATGACCATATTTCTTCTGTGTGTAGTATTGCTGAACTAAGTGTCTTTATTACCTTCTGTGCCCAATCCTTCGTTAAAGTATTAAAGGATCACTATAGGGTCGGGAACACAAACTTGTATTCCTTACCTTATAGTGTTAAAACCACCATCGGGGGCGGGGCTTGGACGCCATACTGAATGGTCGCAGGTTGCATGAGCTCCTGCTTCAAACCGACTAAAAGCAATTTATGGGACAAAATACCCTAACACCGAAGCTCCTCCAGATGGTACCTTCACCTGGTACAGCGGGGGCAACGTTTGGGAGAATTCTGGTACCCTTAACTCAGCTAATCGACAGCTGCGGCCCTCGACTTATAGAAGCCTGGCGAATTCCTGGCGGGAGAAACGGCCGATCTCTCAGCCCGGGGCTGCCTGGCCCTTCTCTTGAGTGGATACTCAGAGCCCCGTACTCACCCCCCCCCTTTGGGCCGGCGGGGGTTATCCCGGCCCACACTAAACAGGCACTTACCTCTCAATCGACACAAGGCATCCTGCATCGGTTCGACACCATGTGCCGACATTTCTGGGAGGGATGGAAAAGGCGACAGCCACCTGCACCTCCTAGGCCTGAAACACAGCCCCCAGGCAGAGGTATGGTTCGTGCCCCCTTCCTAGATGGCGAATCAAGAGGGCCCGAGCGCCCACCCGTGGTTCACGCACCAGAGCGTTACAGCCTTGCCCGGATACCAGTGCTCCCTTGCATCAGAGCCTACCACGAAAGTTTGAAGCTCCACATTGGAGGAAGGACCCCCCACGACGTCTGCTTAAACGGCAAGCACAGCCCAAGCGACGGACAACGAGGAAGCAGATGTCCACCAGGAAGCACCCTCAGAGAGCGGTACTGCCTAAAGCCTGGCTGACAACAACAGAGCTCCTGCACTACCACCAGGCACCTGCTGGATATGCCCTGAAACAGCTCACTGGGAGGCCTGCACACCATCTGCCACGTGGGGGCATCGGCTGAGATGGGCCACTTGACAGGACTCATGGGACACTTGGTGACCATGCCTACCTATGGGATACACTGAGACTGCCACCGAGAGTAGCCATTGTTATAGAGGGGCTGCCTATGGGGACTAAATTACACTATCCGACTACACAAGACACACACTCCACTGTCGAGATGAGAGGCACATGGCTATTCCTCTGATTCCTGCTTAACCCTGACAGGTAGTCTAGCCGGTACCCTCACACACAAAGTGATTTAACCAACAACTAGCTTGAACACGATACAATATCAAGCATACCATATAACAGTTAACCAACACATGTTTACCTCGCAACTGTTGATGCATGTATGCCACACTAGTATTATTAGTCTCAACCTTTAAAAAAACAAAAAAAAGGGATCCTAGAGGGAGCCCCCTGGAACACTCAGGTCAGGCACAGCCAGAGCTCAGAGATTTAACTTGAAGCCACTCTCTATGTATTTGACTGCACCAAACTCTGTCAGCTAATATAACCTGTTGATGTTCATACTGCATGTTGTTAATCAATAAGCCTGTTTATATTGCCTACACCGTAAACAAAAGTGTGCTACTACTTTAATGCCATGCCTGCGAATTACAGTGAAGATGCCGTACTTGCCTAAGCTGTTGTGGCATCGACCGATACCCTTAGCTAGTTATGCAATGTTTAATAGTATCTAACCACTACTATATACGCTAGAACCACTGTATGTTTACTGTCTCAAGCTTGACAACCCCATCGTGACCCACCGCAACAGACATACAAAGCTAGCCTTTATTTAGTATGTTTAAAAACTTTAAAATGTTCCCAGTCTGTTATTTTTCTCATAAAAATGTGCTGTTTATTTCTGCCACGACAATGTATGCCATTGAAATGCCTGTAAGTGCTGTCGTGGTGCTACGTAATCAAATGCACAAGAAAAATAAAGAATTAAAAAAAAAAAAAAACATCTAGCCCCCCTGGGTCCCTCATGCCTCTATAAATATAGCAAAATCTTACTGTATTCAAGCCAGAAGCAGTAGATCTGCATTCTGTTTGCCCCCCCAAAAAAAAGAGAAAAAAAACAAGCAGTCTGCTGACCTCATCAGAAGTGGTAGCCTGATCCAATCATGATGCTTCCCCATAGGATTGGCTGAGACTGACAAAGAGGCAGATCAGGGGCAGAGCCAGCATGATTAATACACAGCCCTGGCCAATCAGCATCTCCTCATAGAGATGAATTGAGTCAATGAATCTCTATGAGGAAAGTTCATTGTCTGCGTGCAGAGAGAGGAGATACTGAATGTTTGAATGCATTTTAGGCAGCCATGACCCAAGAAGGATCTCTAACAGCCATCTGATGAGTGGCCAGTAAAGTTATCACTAGGCTGTAATGTAAACACAGCAATTTCTCTGAAAATACTGTGTTTACAGCAAAAAGCCTGAAGCTAATGATACTCACCAGAACAAATTCAATAAGCTGTAGTTGTTCTGGTGACTATAGTGTCCCTTTAATGATTCTCTGAGTTTGTATCCCTTTGGACTTTAACATACCATCAGACTGGAGTGTTTAAGTCATACTAGACATGCCAGTTGAATTTACAAAACCCAACCTGGTGCCCACACCTCCCAGAACTGTACTAAAGTCATCCCTCCTATTCCTAGTCCTTCTTCCTGTCAACCATCTGACTAAAGACTTTTCAATAGTGGATGTGACCTTAGAACGTTATGAAACTATGATGAAACTAGCCAATCTGTTAGTCTAATCAGTTGGAAAGTAACATTCCTGACTATAGGGGTAGGTCTTAGTCAATGGATTTGGAAATGACCATTCTAATCTTCTGACACTCAGGTCTGCTACATTATCCATTAGTGAAGGCGTTGTATGAATATAGGTGAAAGGAGGAGCCAGCGTTGTAGACTCTATCTCTTCCTCTACATTCAACAAGACCTTCACTTTCCCACCCTTGTTGTGTCCTACATATTTTTTTTTTCAAATTTTATTCTTTTAATTAAATGTACCCACTATAATTTGTGTTATGATACTCTTGTTTAAACTATAGGGTTAGTAACTATGACGAAAGTGACCTTGCCACTGGTGTTTGGAGGGGCCTGTTTGCCAGCCTCCTGCCTTGTGACTATGGCCCCTGTGGTGAACTTTGTGCCTTTTTGGACTTAAGAAGCAGAACTTCTAATTCCCGAAGCAATTCGAAGTGGCACTTCGAATTACTGAACTGCATGAACCAGAGACCACCGTGGAGCTTAACACCTATTAACAACTTGGAATGTTTCTCACTGCAGTATTCTAATTGTTCGCCTGTGTGGCTGTAATTTCTATGAACAACCACGAGGTGGCGGCCATCTTGTTCACATGAATGCAGGCAGGGGTGTTTGGGCATGAATCTCATGGTACTGAAATCGGATACAGAAACTCCTTAACACTGCTGGACTTCCATCATTGCCTGTGTTCATTTCTATACAAGTTAGAAGTTCGGTGGGATCATTCGTCTGGATGAAGGGAACAAGCTCCAGGGTAAGACTATTCACTCTGTTCGGTAGTTTGTTCGTTTGCAAACTACCGAACTAGACCGGCCACAAGCCCTGATTCTCTGGAACCTGTTTTGGGCATGGGACCATGACTTCCATAAAATTTCTGAACCCCTGAACTGATCTGGATGATTTTTGCATATGCTGGTCACCCAGATCATGCCTATCAGGGGATGTAATAAGTGTGGGGATTTTGTGTTTTTGGGGTTTTGTAAAATGTTTTTTCTGCCTGGAGATAATTGGGTTAATACAGTATCTGACTCTATTATCTCACAGGCAGAGGGGAGGGATTGTATGTTTGTTATGGGAGTGTCGTACATTTAATTACTGTTCTGATTTGGTTTGTAAGCTTTGTGTCCCTGCTTACCCTCAGCATAGTCTCATATCATGTGTGGGGGAAACTGCTGTATCTACCCTGGGGATTGCTATATCTCTATAATCCCCTGGGATTATAATCACAATCTCTTTTAAGAGCTGTTCCTGCTACGCTCTCTGGAGTAGGAGAGGTCTGCCCACTGGACACTGGATCCTGGTCTTGGGTCCAGGGTGGATTGAGGACGGTGAGTACTTTTGGAAAAATCTGTAAGAGATCAAGATGGAGCATCAGTTCTTAGCAGATAACTCTGTATCTAGGGAACAAGCCCAGATAATTTACATTGGTCTACATGGACCTATTTGTATAGACCTCTGCATTTTTAAAATTGTTATACCCAATGTTTTTAGGATTACATAGGGCTCTTTCCAATTTGCATCCCAGGGAGAATTTTGCTAATATTTCAATAATTATTCAGCCTACCCCCCTTCTCAAACAGTTTGAAGTGTCTAGCTTGAATCCAGCATTTTTTATATAGATTAATTGTCCCATTTATGGGTGAAGTTAATCTGCAAGCAATGCTGCTTGGTGCCCACATGTAAGCATAATACATGCCTGTTTAGGAGAGAGCATATATTGTTTGACTGCAGATTCAAAGTTGGACATGTTTGAAATTACATATATTTTGCATTCTTATGGGGGGAAAAGGGATCTTAATAGCTGTTTCATTATTTTATCCCTATCTTGCTGCTGTAGAATTTTAGCAGTCTGCAGGGTGGCAGATGCCCTGCTCCTAACACTCGGTGTAATGGAGTGTCCCTAAAAGGTGATGTTGGTTTTGTTATATGGGGGTTAATACAGGAATACCACTAATATCAAACCCATCCAGTTCGTGGTTTCCCCTGTTTACCCCTTGGCCATCATTTTCTGCAATACCAGATGCCTCCGCTTCCTCTGCACACGTATCCCCATGGCCACATACTGCAACTGGAGTTTGTGCAGCCAAACCTGTTCTAAGTGATGAAACTAGCTCTCCTCGCTTCATAATTGTCTTCTCATGTACTTACATAGTATGCATTTAAGCCACATGTTGGACAATCGCGATCTTTTTGAGTACTAATTTTGTATACAGGCCACAGTAGTGTCCCATAAGTATCCAATTATCTGATTTCTTAGTGACCTCAACAATTTCATACAACTTTGAATCCTCGGTCTGGCTATCTCCGATACTCCAGAAATGATGGCCGGCTTACGAACTGCCTCTGTAGGATCTTGCACGTCCTGGCAAACCAAATTGGTTTGGTTATTTTTTTATTTTATAGTTCACATGTATCTAGAGAGGACTGGATTGTCCTCCCCCCCCTTTGCAAGTGAGCTTAAAAAGTGGTAAAAAAAATAATTACTTGACTCGCCAGTTAAAGTAAACTTGGAATTAATAATAAAGTTAACTAAAAATAACTTAAACTGTAAAGTCAGAGTCCACACTCCTTGCTTTCGACAATTCAATAATATTTATTAATCAAGGCTGATCAAATAAACAATACATATACATTTAAAATGGGCTAGTATATGTTGCTACCAAAACTAGCCATTGATTGAATGGAAAGTAAACTAAATTAATATAGTGAAGCAGGCGTAGACATGTGATACAGTTACACGCACTGACACACCGATACCAGGGCTGACTTAAGACATTTTTCCTGCCTAGCTCCCTCAAAAACACGCCAACAAAACACGCCCACATTCATTATGTTTTATAATTGTAACGGACAGTTTTGCACACAAGGGGTAAAAAACGTTTAGGCGATCGTCCCCCTTTCCAGAGATGCAGGCACAGCTATTGTAGAACACCAAACACACGAACCGCCAATAAGTGAATGCTCCAAACTCCCGAACGGCATCCAATATAGCACTCCAAACACACGAACAGGAACCATACGAATCGCTGCTGGCAGACGAATAGGAAAAGCATCACAAGCGGCTTACACTCCTAGCAATCAGTCTCTACCAGCATTCAGTAAATCCCCCCCAAAGAAGAGACAAGGCTCCGTGTTGAGGGTCAAGCAGTGGTCAGTCAGAGCTGTGGGTTTATTGTTCTTATGTACACATTCTTACACATTAGTACCACCCACAGGGTTTTGGAACACAACCAATAAACACATACAATACACTCACACTCCCACACAAATTCCTCCCCTCTGCTTGTGATTCAATTACCTTACACAATGGGTAATGTAATTTAGCACAAGCGGAGAAATTCAATTTTTCCACATTATTCATAACTTGAAAAGTATGCATCACATTCACATTTTCAGAATCAGCATACTCCAAATACAAACATACGTCAAAATCATACAAATTGGTCCAGTGGTTCAAAAGATAGATCGTAGTCCTTTGTGACCACAGGAAACATGGCTTTTCTGCCCAAAACCAGTTCCACAGAGTCTTCTATCCTGGAGATAATTGTGAAGTAATCAAATTATCTCCAAAGACAGAGGCAAAACTCCATTGAACACATGGCAGCAAAAAGACAGTAAAATACAATAAAATACACAAGGTTACATTTATGACATAATGTGCACTCAGATCGGAGCTATTTATTACTGAATGGCGCTCAGAGCACACACATACAGTTCAATTGCCATGGAGCCAAAGTCTTTCCCATAGTCTTTCATTATACGAATGGGCTCCATGGCATAGCTATCTGGGGTATCACTGCTCAAACAGGGCAAGCACCAAATGACCCAGCTTTCTTGTCTTTGCAGGGGAAAATCAAGCCTTTTAACATGGGGCCATAATCCAAAGGCAACAGGCGAGCAACCAGGCTTCTCAAATGCAATGTGGCGAGATTGCTCTCATCACAATAATTTAAAACCAAAAATGAAATGTATCATGATTAAATATATTCCAGTAACATATTTAGATCAATGCACACTAAATGAAACATCACAACATCTATGCTTCTGCAGTGGTACTAAAATATTAGCCAATATACGTCTGTAGCGGAGTAGAAGTAATACCTGGAATATCTCCTCTGGTAGACTTAATCAGCATTCAAGAGAAGCGTAGCGCGGCAATTCCCATTCCAGTTCCCCAACAAATGGATACACAGCTTTGGGAGTGAACTGTTTTTTTTACTGAGCCGCAGCTGGCTTTTATACAATTCCACATACAAGGGGTTTCTTTAATTACATTCCAGGGGTTGTCCCCTGGTGGACTTTGTTGGGGACAGGGAACAAAGACCCATTTCCCAGACTCCTTTTCTGTACTTGGAAGATAATTGCGTAAGGACAATTCTTTCATTAGATTATCTACTAAGTACAGAAAATATACAATATTTTAAAACGTCGAAACTCTCATTATATTAATCAGAACTCTACAAAAGACTTCACACACCTCACCGAATAGCTAGGATCTGAGCGCCCAATCTGTCGGAATACCACTCCGATCCATTCAGCAGAACAAGAACGCCATTCGAGTGAAGTTTAGACCAGTTAACCACGAGGCGAAGCCCTAAAACATTTACATGCAGTCCTATGCTTTGACCGGTATTCTTTCGGGAGTTTACACTATTTAAAAAAACAAATGCAAATGTTCAGGAATTGAGTAGTCGTGTGCCTGGTGGTCATTCGAATGCCGCTCTTTCTAGACTAAGGGTAATGAACGTACGACGGGATGGAAGTACAGCAGTGTTCGCGGGGTCAAGTGTCCGATTATAGTTCTACGCACTCGACGACAAACACCGCTGTGCATTCATGAGCAAAGATGACCGCAGCCACCCATCCGACCATTTAGAACCTTGTGGTTTTCTGGCGTTACAATAGTTAATTGGAGGCACACAACTCCCTTGGGTGGTCTCCCCGTTCAGTGGTTGGTTCGACCGACTAACAATATGTCCATATTCTGCTCGAGAACCTCAAATAGTCGAACCAACTCACTCTCATACAAATAAGTGGCTAACATTAACAAACCAAAAAGGAGTAAGTTAGTTTGTCATGTGGGATGTATGCCATTAGTCTGGGAATGTCGTGTGTGTGTGTGTATGCTGGAGATGTAGTGTGTCTGTGTGTGCTGGGATTGGAATTCCTATGTCCACCACGCTGTGTGCATTGAAGCTAATAATTACTTACCCTTTCTGTATCTGCGGTGTTGGATCCTGGCTGAAGTGGAGTCTGAATTGACTCCTTGTAACTCCGCTTCTCTTGTCTACACCATTGCTGGCTCAGTCCGACTCCTGCATGTTCCGTCGCCTTTGCTGGCTATGTGGCCATTATAGCACACATAGCTAGTCACAAAGGGTAATTCTAACACTTCCGGGGGCTAGTCCACAGCAACAGCCCTGCAGCAAATTGCTCTAAATAAAGTTTCCACTGAAGTTCCGGCACGCACAGTTATTAATCTCAGAGTGACACAACTTCAGTGGGAAACCTTCCTCTCCAGATTTCTAGATTGCACCGCCGCCATTTTTTTTTTTTTTTGCGTGTACCCCTGGGGGTACGCGTACTACGTGTTGGAAACCCCTGCTGTAGAGGATCCAGAGTGTGTGTTGTGTGTCTGGAATGTTGTATGTGTATAGGGCAGTGGTTCCCCACCATTTTTTCACTTGTATACCCTTTGGCACGCCATATCCATAAATTGTTCCCCTTATATTGGAAAATGTTTGCAATTAATATATTTACTGTTATTTCAAACTGCTGCCAGATGTCTACCTACCTACCTCCAGCAGCATCACTGAGGTGACAGCAGCCAGCCCAGGACTAGAGTTCCGGGGTGACCAATGTCAATTCGGTGTAATTTTTATTGTACGGAATGTAGGTCAGTGGCTGAGAGCAGTCAACTGGCGCTATCAGCCAATGGATAACTACCACTGCAGCTGTGCAGAAACAGTAAGCATGTCACCAGACTACCAGGGAGTCTCCAAGCCCAGCAGGTAGAGTTATCTCTAGACTTTGTGAGGACTTGGATGAAACTTCTACATGAAGCTCACACTGACATCCTAATAAAAGACAAATGCAACCGATAATAATAGAAAAGTACCTGGCACTCAATGGGCTCCGGGCCAAATATAAATAATGGTGCGTTTGGGCCCACAATGGCTGACCTCAAGGATGTCATTGACTCCTCTGAGGACCCAGACCTAGATGGAGATTCAGGTGGGATGCTGCCTCCACCACGGCCGCGTCCGATCTCAAAGAAAGGTGAGAATGAGCTGGGTAGCCTGCTCAGGGAGATGCTGGGTAGCCTGCAGAAAACCTTACAGGCAGACACAGCCTTGCTGCGCAGGGAACTCTCGGACCATGTGGGCCGATTAGGGGAAGTGGAAACCACCGTGACACACAACATACTTCAAAATAGTTCTTTCCAACTGATACAACTAATTATAAAATATTCAAAAGATGCCCCAAGAAAATTAGAACAAGAATTGGAAGAACTAGAGTCTAAATCTCCTATTGATATAAATGATGAGGAATTTAAAGAAAGGGAGGAGAAATTACAAACAAATGTAAAAAATTTGGATGAAAAAATAGCAGAGACAAAAAGTAGGAAATATAGACGAGACAAGGAGGACAAAAATAGAGTTGAGTGGACCCCTGGATGTTTGGGTCTGGTGGGTTCTGCCGAACTTTGGGGGAAAAAAATCCGGGGTCGGGCTCGAACTTGACCCTGAACCCCATTGAAGTCAATGGGGACCCGAACTTTTGGCCACAAAGATGCCTCTAAAAAAAAACTCCTGGAAAGGGCTAGAGAGCTGCAAAAGGAAGTAAAATGGGGGTAAGATTAGGACAAGTGCCCTGCAAACAAATGTGGATAGGGAAATCACTTAAAGGGACACTGTAGTCACTATAACCATTTCATCTCTTTGAATTGGTTATAGTGCTTGGAGTGCCCTGACACTGTCCCTCCATTCAGTGTTGCACTATGTTTGTGCAGTATGCCACAAAATAAGAGTCCCTGGCCACCCACAGTCCAGCCCCTTCTGTATGTGTAGTTAAGGCAGAGATTACACACTTCCTTGTTTTCATACCCATTCATACTGTCAGTTGGAGCTCTGACAGGCTAAAAGCAGTCAGCTGACACTCTCAGCCAATCACAGCTGAGCAATGGCTGCTCAGGCTAATACTTCCTTATTAGCCAAAGCAGCACAGAGGGGATGGACTGCCGGGGACTCTTGTTTAGCATATAAACATTAAAAACTGTTTAATGCTGAAAGAAATGATGGTACCAGGGGACTACAGACACTATAACCAGTTTAATGAGATGAAGCAGATACCTACAGTGTCCCTTCAAAATAATATAAAAATTAAAAATACAGCTGAGCCATAAAATACCACTAGATGGAATCTTTGATTTTTAGCTTTGGAAGAACCTACATCAAAATCTAAAGCATAGCTGTCAGGAGGATCACCAGAATTATCCATTTGAGAGAGGGTTGGAGTGCAGGGTATTCTTTCCTTGTTCAAACTGAGCTCAACACCTGATGCATGGAGAAAAGGCCTTCACAAGCCTCTGCTATTGTGTACATAGTTTATACTAAGTGACCTATAAGTTGAGGAGGCGGTGACCGTGTAGGTGGAGGAGGAGGATGAGGTAGCCAACACTGTTATACATAACACACAATTAAAAAAAAATATATATATATATATATATATATATATTTATTTTTTTTTAATTTTTTTTTTCAATTGTGGTAGCCTCCAAAAATTGGGACATATAAAAAAAGACAACTCTATTCCGCAGAGTAGCTGTTGATATTCTAGTTGCTTTGTCCCGAGGTTCTCTAGAGTCAATAATCACACATCCCCGTGATGGTGACTTTGCATTCGGATGTCATCCATATCAACTTTCGATGCCAGTTTCTGCGCCTACCATGGTGACCATGGGTAACGAGGAATCCGGGTTCCATTCCATACAGGGACCCTGAGAAACGGCTACCACATGCAAGGAAGGCAGCAGGCGCGCAAATGACCCACTCCCGACACGGGAAGGTAGTGACAACAAATAACAATACAGGATTCTTTAGAGGCCCTGTAATTGTAATGAGTCCACTTGAAATCCTTTAACTCTGATCAATTGGAGGGAAGTCTGGTGCAGAGCCACTGACCCGTGCGTGCTGCAGCTGAAACTCTATCGCCTGCTGCTGCTCGCACAGTCTCATGAGGCAGTGAGCGGGAAGGCCGAAGTTACGCTGCAGCGCAGACAGGCGAGCAGCAGCAGGGTGAGAACGCCGAAAGCGCTCACAGCTGCTACAGTGAATGTCACATTCTGTTCCAAGTTGCGGATTAGTCTGGTGATGGCTTCTGGTATCCAGTTTGTAGCGGAGGCCTGGTATTTCACAGGTTAACTCCACTAAGATCCCAGTGAGGCTCAGGAACAAGTAATGAAAAATCCCATAAAGTAATAATTCCAGCAAGCAAGGTAATCCAAGAATATCCCCATATAGATCCCAATGACTGGACGACACACAGCATCAGGAGCAGAACTAACTTTTATTCCACACAACCTCCTTTTAAAGCATTCTCCCATGCAAGGGAGGGATTCGCATTCATTAGTACAGTATCCAATGGAGTAGCAGTTACCTCCCACACATCTCCTCCCCTCAGTAGTTTTCCCCAAGTTCTGGATGTACCCTAAGATCAGCAGATACACCAATATTTTCTGGGTGACTAACATATCCAAAATTCACCCAGATCAGACCAGGGGTTCGGGAGTTAGGTGGAGGGTGTAATTTGACCGACCGCACCACAAGGTGGTATCCGAAAAGGGTCCCATGTATTTTGGCCCTGCGGTCGGTCTCCGTTCGGGAGTTGAAATACACACAAAAAGCTGCCATCCATGAATACTATTACTATGACTCCCCTCATTCGGTATGTTAAACTTACCGAACGGGGGGCTGATTCGCCTTCCCGTTCGGGAGTTACGGAGCTCTGGAGGTGTCAGCGGTGTCCAGGTAATCAAGTGTCCAATTTGAGTTCCAGACACTCGACGACCAAACACCGCTGAGCCTTTCGTGCGTAAGATGGCCGCCGCCACGTGTTCGTATGCTGAATGGCGGCCACCCAGATACATACATACATAAAACACCTATTAGTCTGCGGTTAGAGAGAAGTGTGCAGCTTAACGAGGGACAACTTCACTCTGGGGTGGTCTATTGGTTTGGTAGTTTCCATTCGTATGGAATACGGATGGCAACTACCGAACAATCACACGAATCCTACTTACAATTAACTATACAGAGGAAATAACACACAAATTGCAGTATTCTCATAGTCTCTAAGGACAGCCATAGTACCATCCGCTACACAGTACTCTTTTTACTGAAGCTGCATCAGGGTCCTGGTATGTGGCCGCACAAACGCTCAACACCAGGGGGCGTGCAGTTACCCTGCACCAGACCCTGCTAATCCATTCCACACTGTGACTCCTAACTTCAACATCAGGCACACTTTGTCCCAGTCATCCGACCGCCGCCCAGACAGTGTCTAGGTCCTGGTCACCGGACTGCCCACTTTACTGTGAAACTACGAATGGATTGTTAAATCTGGCTTTGCAGTTCAGGTTCGCTCAACTCTATTATGGATCCTTTGATAGCTACATGTATTATTTGGATAACTGGTAATTCTCAAGCTAATACATGCCAATGAGCGCTTGGGGACGTCCGCTTTTGCACCCTGCTCCCTCTTATGCTGTGCTGGTGCCAATGTGCAACCAGCGCCTCTTCCTCCAAACTGCACACGTCACTCGCATGACCTTGATTCCATGTGGGGTCTAGGACCTCATCATCCTCCACATCATCTTCCACCCACTCCTCAACCCTGCCCTCCTTGCCAGTATGCACACTGCAGAAAGCCACAGCAGTTGGCCCCTGTGTTTTTCCAGCATGTAAAGTCTGCAAAGGACAAATGGAAATTGTTTTAGAATTGTATCCAGGCAACAGTTTTCCCTATAAACTGACCTCTCAGTTTGACTTGTGAGGGTATTGCCCCAGAATTACAATATTGTTTAAGTACCTCTTAGCTATTGATAACTGGTTTAACTATAGCAGCTTGTTATCTGGTAGTTTCTAGTGTAGAAAATATCACTGTTTTCTATCACTTAGATCTCTGTAACAAGTGTTGTAAGTGTGAAACAATATTACAAGTGACCGATGTAGTAAATTCGAATCAAGCTTTCGCTTCGGATATGAAGTGCACACCCCAAATATACTATTTAGCACTCAAAAAAACAAACAAAAAAAAAATTGACTTTTTAAAACTCCAATGTAAGCAGCAGATTAGCAGCAAAACAATTAGAATGTTTACAACTGCGCTGTAAGCGCACTATTTGACGCTTCGATTTGACTCTGATATGAAGTGCACCCCACTAATGTACTAGTTTGCAGAATTCTTTCCTAAGCTGTCCCTCACAGCTGCAGCATCCTCTCCCTACACTAATAACACCTCTTGTGCATGCGGCACTACGCGACTCCAGCTAATATATAGAGGCTGGGTCACGTGCTTCTGGCCAATCACAGCCATGCCATTAGTAGGCATGGCTGTGATGGCTTCTAAGGGCACACGAGTCAAACGCTTGTTGATTGGCTGCCCTGCAGCCTTTGAAAACACGCCATTAAAACGCTGAACACCGAACTCCAACCCGAACATACACTGATATGTCCAGGGTCCAAAAACCGTAATGTTTGGTACGAACCCAAACTTTAGAGTCCAGGTTCACTCCACTCTATATAAAATATCTCACAGAGAAAGAGGAGACCCAAAAGTCCATATAGAAAAAAACATCCTCTAATTACACGTAAACCAAGGAGGGATTCATCTTCTGGAAATTTAAAGAGGGACCCAGTAGAATTCAAAAAGATTTCCCCCACCCCAATATGATCATCAGTGTACAAATCTAATAAAGGAAGAGAGAGAACCCCTCAAACAGAGTTACTCTCCAGAAAGAGATGTGCGACAAAAATCATATTCCAAGATAGTAAGGGAAAATCGTGGAGAAAATAGAAAAACGTCCATGATCAAGAAAGGGAGGAAAATTTTCAAGAGGGGGCCAGAGTACCCAAACAGAGAATAATCACCAATTATTTCAAACCTTGGGGAGAAAAATGGAAACACCCCAACCAATACTTCACACTCCAAATAGATACCCCACAAAACAGAATCAGACTAGAAAATGAAAGAATAATGGGTTAATTCATGAAAACTTAATTGCTAATTACATAAAAAGGCATATTTAATATATCAGCTATTCCTTTGTCAGGAGAAGAAATCTCAGTACGGAAAAAGGCATGAAATTTGCTCCTAACAATCAAGGAAACTACTTTGATTTTTACATAGACCTGAAAAAAATCAGGTCTATGACTATGAAATGGCATTTCATCATGCATCCCCCCTGATAAAAAAAAAAAAAAAAGACACAGATGGTGGAGAAGGAATTTAGATCTTTGTTTAACAATTGTAAAAAACTATTTGTAAAAAATTTAACAAAAAGAGAAGAATTTTTTCTTAATCGTATGAAAAGATGGGACATCATTATCAAGGAAGCTACCAAGGGGGTGTGGGGGGGTGGTATAGTGGTCATGTCCACTGAATATTATTTACAGGAGGCTCAAAATATCTTGAGATGCCAAAACATACAAAGTACTTAAGGAAGACCCTGCAAAAAAAATGTAATTCTCAATTGGAACAGGCCAAATTAGAATTTTATAATTACTCAAACAAATTTTGATGATCTGTTGCAGCTCACTCCTACAATTCCCATCTTTTACTTTTTACCCAAAACCAATAAAAACCTGTTAAAACCTCCAGGACGCCCAATAATAAGTGGGATAAATTCTCACAGCCAATTTATCAGCATTTGTTGATTCCTTTTTACATATGCACAAACAGCATTCTTATATTAAAGACACTAAATCTTTTTTGCAAGAAATGGAGAGCATCGAGTGGAGTCCAGAATACAGCTGGGCAACACTCGATGTTACTTCAATATACACAGTAATCAAACCTAATTTGGGTCTTGAGGCTATAAATTATTTTATGACTGGAGACCTTAATATATCTCCCCATGTGAGAGATTTTATAGTGACATCAGTTTAATTTATTTTAGAGCATAATTATTTTTATTTCATGAAAATATTATTTACAGATCACGGGGACTGTCATGGGCACCAGGTTTGCCCCCCGCTATGCCAACATATACATGAGGAGATGGGAAGATCTCTTTGTGTGGTCTGGTCATGGCTGGAGGGAACACCTGGTGCTCTGGTGGAGATACATCGATGACATTATTATTATTTGGAAGGGGCCTTCTTTTTGTCTTCAGGAATCTGTGGGATCTCTCAACAATAACCAATACTGTCTAAAGTTTACACCAGTCTGGAACAAAACCACTATTATTTTTTAGATGTGACATTGACGGGTGAGGATGACCATATCGAATCAAAATGCTTTTTCAAACCCACCGACGGTAATGGGTATGTTCATAACAAAAGCTGCCACCATAAAACATGGCTAAAAGGCATAGCTCCAAGTTATGCATGTAAAACGCAACTGTTCTCACCCCCAGGGTTTTGAATCCCAATCAACATACATTAGGAATAAATTGATAAACGGGATACAATAAAAAGTCTGGAAAAAGAGTTTAGGGTTATAAGGAAGATGGAAAGGAGTGAGCTGCTAATGGATAAACCAAAAACAGAGGATTCTAATGAATCTTAAAAAAAAAATTAAAAAAAAAATGCTTTTATGACACAATATAATATAAATCACCAACGTATTAAAGTCTACAAACAAATATTGGCCGGTGTTACTTGAAGACCCAATACTGGGAAGTTCTCTACCAATATAGAAAAAAATCTACTTGCTCAAAGTTATGCTTTAAAATGTAACCCTAACAGTAGGATAGAGACATCTAAAGGATTTAGGGGATACAACAGTTGCAAAGCCTGCTCAACTGTTAATTTTGTTAGAGCCAAGACCTTTTGTAGTTCTGTTACTGGAGAGTCTTTTTTTTTTTTTTATTAAGACCGAGGTTGGATGCCGCGTGGACTTTGTAGTTTACTTACTGCAGTGAAAATCTGGGCTTTGGAGCATAGAAATAATATTAAAAAGGGTCTCTTGTCACATTCAGTCTTCGTACACAGTAACTCATGTCCCCTTTTCTCCTTTTTTACCCCATTGGAGAGGAGGAAATAGGGTCCAAAGATTCTCAAAGAGAGACCTTTTGGATCCATACGTTGTGCACTTTAGAACCACGGGGACTGAATGTAGATCTAGATTTAGTTTGCTTCTTATAAACAATAGGTATAAGTGTTGATTGTTATGACCGGCTGGTATTTCATTTAACCCCTTAAGACCGGAGGGTGAACGATTATGCCATATTTTAGGCGGCTCTAAACGCCGCCGGGCGTAATAGTGCGCCTTCCGGTCTTTCTTTACTTACCTGGGGGACCGCCGGCAACCGCGGTTGGGGGCACTCCCAGGGAACTTCCCCGCGGCAGATCTTCCCTCCTGCAGCCCCCCTGACCATGTGAGAGTGAGGTCCTTGCGACACGTAGACTGATACTGATTAATATCATAAAAAAATGTAAGTACGTTAAAATTAAAAATAAATAATTAAAAAATATAGATGTTATTTCGTTCTAACTGTATTGTGATAATATATATTTATATCAAAATACATGTAGAACGAAATATATATCTATATACATAAATAAATATATATATATATATATATATATATATATATTCTACATATATTTATGTAATATTTTTTACATAATAAGGTATCTTAATTACAATTAGCGGGACCTGCCTGACAGCCCATGCCAAAAATAAAGGGAATTTAATTTGCTAGCACTATATCTAACCCTATAACTTTCCAAGACACCATAAAACCTGTACATGGGGGGTACTGTTCTACTCGGGAGATTTGGCTGAACACAAATATTAGTGTTTCAAAACAGTAAAATGTTTACATTTTGTTTTGTTCACGACGTGTACATTTGGCTCCGTCCTTAAGGGGTTAAAGTGAAAAAGATCCGTTCGGTGATCTATTTTTTGGGATCTATTTCTTTAAATTTTCTTAAGTCATTTCTAATTTTCCTAAAATAATTCGCTCTGAAATTACATCAAAAGAATATCGAAGAACAAGAAGAGAAAATATATACAGATAAAGTTTCATATTTGTCTAAAGAATCTTTGAAACAGATTTAAATTCTGAATAAGGGAAAACGTGGATATGTATGTACTAAATATACTTTATATTTGACTACATATGATTGTATAAAAAATTTAATTTATTTGTAGCATAATCTAAATATTCAATATTGAAATATATTGTTTTGAAAAATAAGAAATGTATAATATAAAAATAGACTGCCTATGTTGTAGTGTAATATGCACCACAGGCATATTGGTGCACATATTAGAATTATAGTCATGTAACCTCTTTAAAATTTGCACATTCATCTTTGACCCTTTGTCAGATTCCAAATTGTCTTTTATTGATATATCTTCCAGCTAACTGATTACTTCCTTGAGTGTGTTCTTAGGCAGATTCCCCTATAGTACACTATGCGGAGCATGATTCGTCTAAGATATTAACTGGAACGCACGGAAGTGGATGCGATAAGTCACTTCCGTTTTCACCGTTCTCAAAATACCAATCAGCTGAAATTCTAACTACAATTATATTCGAATGAACAACAGATGAAGAGGATCTAGGAGCCACCAGTGAAGAGATGAACTAGGAAAACACCCACTGGAACCACCAATAGACTGAAGGGACTAGCCCTATTTAAAGGGACTAATGGGAGGGTGGAATTAGGCTGCTTTTTTTGGGGCACTTTATTGATTATATTTACTGTATACTGGTCTCTGAGGAAGTCCCTTGGTGGACGAAACGTGTATATTTTTTATACCAATAAACCTCTTTTTCTACCTGTCGGTGTCCTGCATGGTTCCTGATACTGGGTGAAACCTGAACCACCTGGTTTGAAAGCCTGTGTAATGATAGGGCCACCCTAGAGGGGGCAGTCTCTTCATTATACCAACCCCTCCTCACCGGACACTTAGAGAGCAACCACACCTTTAAACGCTCCTGGGAAAACATCCTGGGAAAAACTATATCGGACACCTTGTGGGAGAAAGTCCTAATACTAGCACACAAAAGGTCAATAAGTACCAGATACCAGGAGACCAACTACAAACTCCTGTCCTCCTGGTATCGCACACCGGAATACCTACACAGGGTGTTCCCGACTGTACCTAACACCTGCTGGAGATGCGGGAGCGCAGAGGGTATGATCCGACACACATGGTGGGACTGCACCCTGTTGACACCATATTGGGAGGCAGTGCACACCATAATCACAGACATATTGGGAGAATCCCCACCCTTTCAGATAGAGCATGCACTCCTCCACGCCATCACTTGCGGCCTATAAAAAAAATCGATCTACCCACACCTAAATGCGGCCAAATCAATGATACCTGCCCTCTGAAAACAAGACAAAATCCTGACACTGGAGCAGTGGCTAAACAAAGTCACGGAAATCCAATCAGCAAAAGCAATACACGCATCCCTGATGTACACGGAGGGAAAACACACAGAGCGCTGGCGACCATGGTTCGAATAGGTTTCGAAGCGGGACGGGTCACTGGCCGGTGGAGCTGGAGCCGGCCAGCAGAGCCGCGTCTGACTCTCCTCCACACCCTTTACCACCTCACACCCATTATCTGAACTGACCCCTACCACTACTAAGCTCACTCACCCACCACCTCATTACACCACCTACAACAACGAAGACAATACAACAATACAGTCTTGACAAACAAGCAAACATCAAAATGATCCCAACACCAGCAGGGAGATGCCAGACTGAATCTATGCCACAACACACCAGGGCCCAGAGGCACCGCCAACGGCCTCAGAACACTACGCATTTTCACAGCTAATATACCATACCCCGATACAAACTGACAGACCAATTAAAGCACCAACAAATGGACAACATATAATCTCTCTATGCCCTACACAAAAAGAGGCACCCCGATAACAAGGATGCCATCACAGTAACGGCAACATGTACAAGTGAACTGGTCACACAACACATGAAAGTTAACAATAGCGACATAGAAAGCAAAAGATATGGGGGGAGAGGGAGGACAAAGCACAGACAAGGAAATTAAACTAGCTTAGGGAGGCTGCGCACCGCACACAGACAAGATATATGCAGCAAAGCATACACGAGATCCACCAGCATGCCACACACCATCCCTTAGACTACACACACCTTACACTAGTCCTAAAACTCCACTGAAGCGATCTTAATACTTCACCATTATTGATGTGTTATTGTTAAGCCATGAAAAACACAAACGCAACCGCGATTAACTTCGCTGATTTGAAGCACCACAATGAGGTTCTATACCGATCTTACTTATAACAAAATTACATGCACAACTGCAAATATGCGCCTTTTTATAATGAATAATTTAAGCTCATGTACAAGTTTAACAAAAAAAACTAATCGAAAACTGCTCAGACACAGCAAACAAAAGTTAAACAGGAAATTAAGGTAGCTACACTACCAAAATCACTGCTCTAACAGTGTGATCTGACATCAGGCAGAAGCAATACAAAATCGCTATAGACCGACTGAATTACACTCTGTAACATTGATGCATGTTTATACGAGAGACGTGTGAGTCTCCAGCATTACATACTTACCTTTCCCTGACTTAGGAGAAGATGGCATCTTAAAGTCTGAACATCTTTATCTGTTTAGGGTTACCACAGTATATTATGTACTAAGAGTCGTGGCATAGCTTTGACGCTTGTTTATGCATTATTGTTATTGTATTTCGTCTGGGACAAAATGGCGTAAACATATTATGTACTGAAAGTAGGTAAAAGGTTATTGCTTAAAGAAACATGTATGAAAAACAATATGTTCCATTTCTAACACCTTGTCAGTTTGCAATATCTCTTAAAGACAAAGTACACAGTTTGAGAAATACAATATTTGCATTTGCCCATAACACTTTCCTCAGATCTTCATTTCTCTCACCTCTTTCATACCCATTTGTCTTGCCTATGCTGGTTCTCCCTTTCCCTCCCCCTTAATCTGCTGCAGTGCAGGGAGCCGCTAGCTGCTGTCACTCCCCACACCTCCTGGTGGTGGCACTCTGCTGCCTGCCCCATGGTATCCCTGAAACAGCAGCACAAATTCACAGAAACAAATTGTATATTTTTATTCACCCTTTAAATGCATGGGGGCCAACTTCACACTGGTGGATGGGCACATTTGTAGAACACATAGAATTAATCCACCTGGAATGAACAGTATCAGTCTTATCTTAACACAAAAGGGACATTGGTTGTTGCTGTCACTGGTCTACTTAGTCATTTATGTGTAGTGGCCAATGTGCTTGGATTGATCCTTTATAATAATGATATAATTTTTATATTTTTATTTTATTTTATATATTCTCTCTTCTGAATATTAATAATTTTGGTATGACCTAAATTGTGTATTTTCAATCTATGCTGTAATTTACGTGGAGTATTTCTTTGTAAAAGGTATATTGTTTAACCATTTTTATTATTACTAGGAGATTTTCTAAAGTTTAGAATGTAAACATGTCAAGTAATATTGAATAAATGGGTAGGGATGGACATTTGTTCCAGTTACTGTGACAATACTACTATTTTGCATGCATTTTTGTTAATTAATAGCCATGTTCTGTATAGCACATGTGTAAGTCTGGAATTTCATATCACACATCTAAGTTTTATTTATTTATTTTTTATCCGTAGAAACCCTATGCACAAGAAAAGTGTCCAGTTCTTCACCGTGCTTTTAAATTGAATGAAAAGTGATACATAAATTGCAAACAAAAGAATATTTTTTTAAAAATCATTCATACGTGTAATGAATACTGAACATGCGATTGCTCACCCGAATCAACAGTCCAGTTTGTCACTTGATTATAATCTTCTCCTTGACGTTCTCTTTAGCCCCATTCTGTTTCCGTAACCTGCTTTATTCGCCTACCTTTTCTCGAAGTCTTCATCTCAGACGAATGAGTCGTGCATTTTTGCTTCAGAACATGCAGGATGGAACAGATGCTTTGAGATTCTTCAAGCATAAAATCGGCTTTTCACCCCTTAAGTATGAAAACAAAGATAACAACTCTGTTCCCTGTAACTACAAAGCATCTGTATTGCATAATTCCAAAGCTCCAACTGGAAGCATACCGCTTGTCATCACCATTATTACAACACGGCGTCGGCCTGAGTACCATTACCTCCTGCAGGTTGCACGTGGCTTTCTTGACCGGATATCAGAATGTGGAAATGATTGCTCAGATTTTCAACTTTTTGTCTGTAATGTAGACTCCTCTCCCTCTTCCCATGAAGACGCCTGCTTACTCTCCCAACTCCTTCCCTCTGTGACACGCAATTTGAATGATGAACAACAAGATAACCCTCCCAACCAATTTGAGCGGGAAAAGCAAGATTATGCTTTTTGTCTCTCACGTACTCTAGAGACTTTCTCTCCAGAATATGTGTTGCTTGTTGAAGATGATGCTGTACCAAAAAATGACATTTTCAGTGCCTTTTTCCAATTGGTGCAGGTGAGATTCCCCACAAAACCCCTGGGAGGTGGTCTTTATGTTAAATTCTACCATCCTGAGAGACTGCAAGGTTATTTGAACCCAGAGCCCATGCGAATTCTTGAATGGATTGGTTTGGGCTTTTTACTAGGAATAATTCTGAACTGGATGTACACTAAAATGTTTTATCAGCAGAGATTTAGCTGGTGCATGTTTATTTCATTTACAGTTTACTCAATGTTGTTGGCAGAGCTTTTTGGACGCCATTATCTTCTGGAACTTAGACGGATGTTGCCTGTGCTGTACAACGTGGTGCCTACAACTGAATGCTGCACTCCTGCAATGCTTTTTTCTGAAGCTTCTGCCCATAGAACATTGGTTTACCTTAAAGAAACAAAGTGTAAGAGTGGCTATGCAAAGGACACTGCTCTGTACAAAGAGTTAAAAAGGAGAGGAGACTGGGCATGGGTCATAGAACCCAACATGGTGACTCATGTAGGTTTGTTTTCAACACTTAGAGATGGGTATGAAGAAGAACCACAACTGTTGTAATTATTGCAAGCCCACTTCTGCATTAACAAAAATGTGCAATATTCAAACAATCCTTTAAAGTAATAGATTTTGTAATTTATCACATCTTTCATATTGAAGCCTTAATGGAAATTTACATTGGATTATTATTTAAAATACAAACTTTACATTCATGTTGTTTGTAATGCATACATATAAGTCCCTATTTTTAATGTGTCGTGGCTTATCCTTGCTTCTTAAGGTAGCCATCTTTAAATCTTCTTTGTTCAGAAGCCCCGTTTATCTAACTGAAGCCCATGCAGGTAATTCAGAGAGGGCAGGTGTTTACAAATCCTATTGTCATGCGCAAATGATGTATCTCAAAGATGCACTTTGAAGCAGTTTTACTATTTAAACTAAGCTGTACATCCAACCCAAGACAATATAAAGATGGTCGCCCCTATAGTGCAAGGGAAATCCAGAAGATGCCTTCAATTAAGGTATTTACTTGTATGTATACATAACAAAATTAAAAACTGGTGTTTTTTTATGTATTATGGTCAAAAATAAAATAATACCATTTTCCTGCAAAGTGGCACTGTCATGTCTTTTTCATAAGCAATGAGTTTCCATTAAGATTCTAAGACTGCATAAGAATATTAGTGAAACTGCTAGGCACTACTTTAGAGCATGTACACAGTGAGTTTTGGCAAAGTTTGGGAAGGTTTGGAGCTTCAAATGGCACACGTCTTCCCATGACCAACTTCACTAGCAACAGCAGGGACAGAAATCATCTGGTGCAAGGAGTAACAGATGCCTACGTCGTGTATTTATGCATGACTGAGATTATCTTTTTATCCTACAGTCATAGAAGACCATGCGTAAAGAAATGTGTATAAAAATGCTATCAAAGGGTACTGGGCAGAGATGTTGTTACAGACTGCCATTTGTAACTATTATTTTATTTGACAAATTGCCCTGCTTCCCTGTGTTATGGAGAAGCCTAATTGCCAGCCTTCTGCCCCATGACTATGGACCTAGTGGGTATGGCGATTTGACTGTATTTGTGGGATCTGAGCGCTGTTTGGATATATTGAGCGCTCAGATCCAAGCCATCTGGGGATAGGTTGAATGTGGGGGTTCTGTTCAGTATGATAGGAGTTATGTATTTTTGTGTCTTGTATCTTTTGCTAACATGTGGTTATATCCAACCCTGGATATAAGTGAATTATTTTCCCCATTGTCTCCTGGATAGAGGGCTCTGTAAAACCGGTTTGGGCCAGATAACCATGCTGCCAGCCAGGCCCCAAAAGATACTTTTGCTAACTTTTGAACCCCTTGTCTGATTTGTGCCATTTTTTAATATGTTGCTCCCCTGAATGGATTGATTCTAAATATGTAATTTGTATGAAGATTGGATGTATGGTTTTAAAGTTACAGGGTATGGGTAAAAACTGTATTTTTACTGCCTGTGTTTAATTATGTTAACCCATTGTGTACCATAATTAGATCACAGGCAGAGGGGAGGATTTTTGTGTGTAATTGCTGGGAGTGTTTCTGTAATGTACGTTTATTATTGGTTGTTGTGTAAAACCCTGTGGGTGGTCCTATCTCAGGGAAACCTGCATAAAAGAAGGTTCTTTGTGTGCCAATAAACAGAATGACTTGACCCTCTAACTTGCAGCCTTGACTCATGTTTGTAGGGGACAGCTATAATCACTACAGGGATTGCTATGCTCTTCATACTCCCTTAGCTACTGAGCTCTTGTAAGAGCTCTTGTTCCTGATCCTGCTTCGCTCTACAGAAGGAAGAGGTTCACCTACTGGAGCCTGGTCGTGGATCCAGGGCACAGAGCAGACGGCGAGATACCAGCCCAGAAGCGGTGGTTTGTGGAGTCTGCAGTACTTATGGTGGCTACGCAGTACTTATGGTGTCTACGGTGCTGATGGTCCTTTGGTGAGCGCTAGGAGCATCCTTTTCTACGGTCCAACTTCCAGCCAGCCTGGAGGCAACCGTAACAGATGTTATGAATCCAGAACCAAAAGATGTCGTTTTTTTTGTTTTTTTAATTAACACACATCTTCATCATAGCTTAATTATTGTGTGACTATTTAAATATGTACCTATCAATCCCAGTAAAGCTTGTGCTTAAATTTAAAGATTATTAACGTCATCCAGACATCGTGCAAGCTGAAATGCTAGCACATGTAAAGGTTTTTTTTATGCCTTTTTAACCCCTTAAGGACAGCGCTTCAGAAGCTTGTCTTTAACTTAATGACAACAGCATTTTTTGCTGTTGTGGAAATAAGATATTGATGTATTCTTTAAGCTTAGTAAAATATCTATTTACTCATCTAACCAGAATCAGTATCTAAGCTACTAACCCGTGCATAGACAAAATGGCCACTAGAGGCTTCTAGAACTCCCTCCCCCTCCCCTTCCCTATAACACCGACTAACTACCTCGTGTAACAAGATGGCACTGGAACCCGGGGGAGACCCTCATGGTCCCAGTGACATCACCTATAGTAGGCAGAGCGTTAAGAAGACCACTTAACACCTAACCAATTGTTTGAGTATTATTTCTTGTTATCTCTGACAATGCTTATGATGTAATTTTGCTTTAAAAGGGACCTGCCGTCCCCCTTTAATAAACATTCCTCAAGTTATTCATCAACCTGAAACCTGTGTCTGGTGTGAATTACTTCAGGGAGCGTGCACGCATTGTTTCTCAATTTGGCCAGGGGCAGATACACAAAGAATAATCAATTGATTGGATTGACTTCCATAACAACCGTATTGCCCGCTCGGAGGGTCGGAAACCAACGGACCGGAGCGGACCTCTGGAAAGAGGGATACCCCGGAGCCTGATCACCTCCAGAATACAGCCATTGTCTGTATATTCCTATTTGTGTTGGTCTGTCTCCGTGTCTACTTCCGGCATCCTGAAGGCTACTAGACAGGTAACATCTTATCCGGTGCCTATTTAAAACGAACTTATCGATTGTCTATCTGCCTCCTGTGAGTTTGCATGAATGTGTGTGACGGCCGGTGCATGTGTTTTCTTAAAAGTTTAGCTTGACTGCCTAGCGGGCAGGGGAAGCAACGGCCGGTGAAGGGCTGGGGACCACCCGTGTAAGAGGGTTTGGGATTTGTGACAGTGCTGGGACCACCTTGTGAGATAGGGTTGGGGAATTATAGACAGCTGGTGAAGGGCTGGGACCACCCGGTGAGATAGGGTTGGGGAATTATAGATAGCCGGTGAAGGGCTGGGGACCACCCTGTAAGACAGGGTAGGGGTATTGTGAACAGCCGGTGAAGGGCTGGGGATATTTGTGAAACACCTGTGTAGAAGTGAGGTACAGCCTAGTGTTGAGAGGCTGGGGTTGTTGATTTATGATTTTTACTGCTTGTTTATTATGTACATGGCCATATCACTCTCTGTTATTCTGTGGATTTTGTTTGCTACAATGCGGGTACCCTTGGGGGGTGTGTGTGTGTGTTGTGTGGTTTGTCCTTGACTCCGGAGTGTATACTAATTTTTTATGTGTGCGATTTCTGTCAATGCCTAGTACTTAGTGTTGCAACATTTCTTTTCTCCTTTGTTTTGTATCTGTCCTGTTCTTGTTGCCCAGAGCTGTTAGTCACCCACGCTCATCCATTCCGGTCCGTGGTCACCATCCCGGGTGCACGGACCATTGTGACTAGTCTACGTTTTGGGAAGACGACCGGATCTCCCGTGGCAGTCGAGCACTGTAGACTTTCCTACTTTTTCTTCCCACTTACTCGATCTCCACTATTCGGTAGACCTTGCTTGGTCAGAATAGGGCATGAACACGCTAGACCAGCTAAAGGATTCTTGGCTTGTGATATTGTGAAGGAGAGGGCGGGGGAACAGGCAATGTTAAAAATCAAGAAAGTTGCTAGGATTTGTGGTTTACAAATGTCACCTAGTGGTAGGCTACAGCCTGAGTTTTGGAGGAAGTTACTTGTGGACAAGGAAGGATTGTTGTCTGACAATGGGTTAACTAAGGTTGTAGAGGCTTGGTATCGTGTAGCTAGAGGGCTTAAGCGTGAAGGTTGGACAGAGGAAGAACTAGAATTTGAGGGACAAAAGATTTATGTGTACCATCGAAATGACTGTAATGATGATGTTTCTCCTGTAAATCCCCGGCCACCGCCCTGTGATGGCGCCCAGACCATGCTGAACAATTCACGCCCAGCTTCCCCGGTTAACACCCACTCACCACCCCTCGGTGGCATGGTACATGGTTCCACCCCCCTATGTGCCGTAATCGGAGCCGACGGCGCATATTATTACCCAGTACCGTTGCAGTCTTTTCCACTTGTTCCCATGCCCCAGCTACCTCCCTCCTCTGATTTGGTTTCGCCCCAGTCCCCCCCCCATCCCTTCTTGGCTCCCCGCACCTCCTCCCCCGTCACCTCCCTGTCCACCACCCCAGCCGAAGCCCACGCCTGTTCCCTTTGTCTCACCGTCAGCCCCTCCCACCCCTGACTCTGAACCCACCCCGCTGATCTCATCCACCGTCACATCTGCCGCCCCCTACGACCCCACCATCACTTCCGTGTCTACCACCCCTCTGGCTGACCCCGCCATTAACGCTTCTGGTTCTTCCACTAACTTGGCGTCCTCCCTTCTCACAGCACTTACTGCTGCCCTGGATCATCCTCCTACTCCCCCTCCCCTTCCCGCCGACTTGTCTCCCCTTCTCACCGCCCTCTCGGCCCTAGCCCGCCCAGCTCCTCCCAACATGGTCACTCATCATCCTCCTCCTCCTTCACTCCCTAACGAATTGTCTGTCCTTGCCTCAGCCCTCTCTGCCCTAGCCCAACCTGCCGCCACGGTGTCCCCACCCACTCCTAGCCCCGCCCCATGTATCCAGGCCCCCAGTACCAGCTTTCCCCTCATGGTGGCTGGCTCTGAAGAACCAGCCACATCGGCCCAGCCTCATGCTGTGGGTGTTTCCCCAGCTGCGTCAGGTTACCACCCCACCGCGTCACAGTCAGGCAGCCTGCCCAACGCGGCCCAGGCTCCCCAGACTTCTATCACTCCGGCCATCCCAGACCCGGTTTCTCTGGGAGCTGCTTCCTCTCAGGGGGACCCTGCCACCCCAGAGGACGATGACATTGATGCTCACGGGCGCATCTCACCCTACGGCCGGTAGGCCATCACTCAGGCTATCCGCTGCCCATGCTATTCCCCCCCGTACATTCCTCCACCTCAGGGCCCCTTCCCATGTATGTCACATTCAACCCGTCACAAGCTGCCACGTTAGTCCCTTCCCTCCCCGACCCGGAGAAACAACCCATGCCCTTCTACCGAAGGATGGCTCAGATCTGTAAAACATATTCCGCCGCCTGGAGTGATCTTTTTAGCCTGTGTGAAATCAAAGCTGGTGATTCATATTGGCCCATTATGGCAAAGAGTTTTACAGACACCCCCCTCACTTCTGATACTGACTTCCAATCCGGTATTACGTTCTGTGAACAGCTACGTGCCTGGGCACAAGATAAGCTGGCTGATCAGGCCACTTGCATCAATGACATTGTTCAGGACAAACTTGAATCTGTTGAAAAGTACCATTCACGTTTAACACAAACTTTCTTTGATTTAGGGTTTAGTACTTACAATAAAGCGCACACCCAGATGTTGTCTTCCGCTTTTGTTGCTGGGCTAAAAGAACATATTCATAAGGGTCTAGTGCTTTCCCATCCTGAGTACCGGATCATCCCTTTAGACACACTTCTACTGGTAGCCAAGGGCCTAGAGTCAGTGGTACAGCCCGTACAGAGGAGAACAACTCCCATGATGCTCAATGCCCCTGTGGCAAACATAGCCACTAGGACAATATAACGAGACTGTGCCTTTAAGGGTTGCCTGTATGGTTGTGGGGATATGTGCTTAACTATGTAGAATGGATGCTGGTTGTAATTAACGTGTATGTGCTGTAAAGGCTATCTGCCGAATGCAGATAGCTGTATGTACTGTATTTTCTTTCGTTTCACGAACGGCACTTTTGCGGGCCATTCGTGAACCGAAAATATCCCCATGTAGTAGCCCACACATTTAGAGGCGTGTGGCACTTGTTAACCGATTGCAACAATGTTGCAATCGGTAATTAGAGGCTCTCCTAGGTGGCCGCCGTTCGACTACTGACCATGCAGCGGTCGGCCATCTTGGATCCTTTGTTCCCTCAGCGGTGTTTGGTCGTCGAGCGCATGGTACTAAAAACGGCTACTCGACGGCGCAAACACCGCTGAGCTTCCAGGCCGTTCGGGAGTTCCGGGCCGTTCGGTATTTTGTTCCCTGGAAGGCAATCGGTATTTTGAACCTGTATTTTAATGAATGTGTTTTTCGTGCGGCATTCGGTTGTTTTAGCTGGGATCTGAGCGGTAATCTCACGAATGATGCGCTCAGACCCCAGCTATCTACTGAACGTCCATTCGTTTAAATGAACTGCATATTCGAAAAGTTATGGATTTTAATATAAATTGTCGGTTCTGCTGCACGTAGGGATAATCCACTTAACGGTATATTCCAGTGGGAGGATCCCTCTCGTACAGCAGTGCCTGATGGGAGAAATGTCCTGTACAGTAAGTTCCCCATGTAGTCCCCTCTGGGAATGCCCCTGGGAGGGGACTCAGGAAACCCCTTGCATGGGGACTTGTATAAATTGTGGAGCTGAAAATAAAGATCTCAGAACTGTGTTTCGTCCGGTTACTGGGAGGTTTGGGATATTGCCTTGCTTTTTCCAGCGCTTGACTGTGGATTACTTCCCGAACCAGCGGAATTTGTGGATTTAATATTGGCGTTCCGCTACAGCCCCTTCCCCCTACTGCAGGGCAAGTACAGCCCGCTCCCACTTATCATCCACCCCAGTGACCGGTCCTCAGCAGCCAGGACCTGTTTCAATTGTCACCGGACTGGCCATTTTCGTAGGGAATGTCCTCACCCCAGAGTTAGCAGACCCTTTTTACCCTGGTATTCAGGTTATTCCCCCTGCAGGCTATGGATACTTTCCTCCTGGGTATTTTCAGTCGCCTCCTCCTCCCCCAGTGCCATATTTCCCTCCACAAGAGTATTCTCAAGCCCCTCCGCCACCCCCGATACTCGTTATCATCACCCGGCTCCTGCCGATGGGTTTGAGGAGGACCGCCCAGCTGCAAGGATAAATCGTTCTACCCTACCCATGTCCCAGGCCGGCCCACACTCTACGTCTGCACGCCGCTATGCTGGCCCTGACCAATCCCATCCTGATTTGTTGCAATAGGTATCTGGCAAGCCTGTGTCTGACACCCGTGTTCTGGCACTGTCTACAGGGGATGGGGGAGGGCCTTTAGCTACTGTAGTATTGCCCATAGAGGGTCACCCCACTACTTTCCTAGTTGACACAGGTGCAGCCCATAGTGTTCTCAGAGAACAAGACCTGCCTGACCCGTCCTTCCTGTCAGACACCGATGTATCTTGTGTTGGTGCTGATGGTACCTCCCGCAGTAGCCCTCTCACCAAACTACTTCACGTGGGGTCCGATATCCTTTCCCGGTTTGTAGTTTCTTCCACGTGTCCAATTAACCTGTTAGGGGCTGATGTCCTGTCCCGTCTCCAAGCATCCATTACATTTACCGCAGACGGTCAGGTTCAGTTAGCTACGCCCCGTCACGTAAAGACACCTCTGTACTTTGCTCCCTTCCCATACTATTGCATCTTGCATCTCCTGTAGGGGAAGAAAGGGTCCCACACGCCCCCAGTGCCCTCGACAGAATACCTACAACTCTTTGGTCAACCGGCCCGGATAATATTGGACGTCTCAAGGTCCCCCCCCCTGTCATTGTCAAACTTCTGCCGGGAGCAGCACCTCCACGGAGGCCCCAATATCCTCTGAAACCTGCCCAAGCCCTTGCTATTTCCAAACAGGTGGAATCCCTCCTAGCCAAAGGTGCTTGTTACGGTACCTCCAGTAATAAAGGCACAAACCGCCGTTTAGTGAATGCTCCCCGTTCGCAATAATGTAGGCTGGTAGCGGGTATAGTAAAACCATGCGAACCGCCAGCTAGGGAACACTCCAAACTCCCGAACGGTACCTGTACGGCTATTTCCCTTCGCGAGCTCCAAATCCACGAACTGCCAATATTAGCCGAACGCTAATATCTCCCAAGCGGCAAAGAATTCCAATAAGCAGTCTCTAAGCGCCGGTAATAAAATCCCCCCAATAACGAGACCAAGCTCCGCTTTGAGGGTAAAACACGAACTGATTTACTGGGGGCTACCTGCCCGGTATTTATGCAGGTCTCCCACTTGGTGGACACTCCCCTAGGGGACCAAATGGGAGACTGAAATTACAGAAGGACATGGGGACATTTTGGACATACATCCCCACAATATTCCCAGCATGCATCACAGTTCCCTCCCCTCTGCTCGGGGGATAATTGGGAAGTAACTCAATTATCTCCCCGAGCAGAGGCAATCGCCATTTTAAACACAAGTCACAAAAACACATGAAAATCCATAACTTCATAACTGCCGAACATATTACATTCGTATTGCATATCCCCAGATAGCCTGGATCTGAGGGCACATTATTGGAGAATAGCGCTCAGATCCCATTCGCACAGTTCAATCGCCATGGAGTCAAAGTCTCTTTCAGTTCTTCGGTATGCGATTGACTCCATGGGACGGCTATCTGGGTTAAGTCCATTCGTGTGGTTGAATCTCCCGAACGGCTGGCATTCGTATACTTTTGTCGATTGAGAAGGGGAGGTTGACGGCTTCAGCGGTGTTCGGCTGAAAAAGTGTCCGTTTTCAGATCCATGAAATAATCGTCGAACACCGCTGGTCGTTCGCATGGAAAAAATGGCCGCCGTCTCGTGGTCGACATACGAACGACGACCACCCGGCATTCGGTTTTAATTGAGAAGTGTGTGTGGTTAACCGCAACGTTCTAATTGGGATCAATAGGTTAACCAGCAGCACACTTCTCTTCTGGGTGGCCGTCCGTTCGGTAGTTCCGTTCGACAAAACCGACATTCCCTTGAATAAAGCATACGAATGGGGAAATTCATGTAACCGGCAAAACAGGCGAACCAAGCATTTGTAATCCAGACAGATGGGTCTGTCACAGTGCTCTTGTCAAGTGTGTTTCGCCATGCACTCCCCTTTTCCCTGTAAAGAAAAAGCCTGAAAAGGACTGCCTGATCAACCGCATGGTCCAAGATCTACGTGCTGTTAATGATGTCACGGTTAAAGACACAGCTGTGGTTCCTAATCCACATACATTATCTCAAGTTCCACCCTCAGCCACCATCTTTACTGTAGTAGACCTTGCTAATGCATTTTTCAGTGTACCTCTGGACAAATCTTGCCAATACCTGCCATGTCTATGGTACTGGAACCCTGGCAAAAGTCTCACACTGATGTGGTCTTGCTCCAATACGTTGATGATTTACTTCTCTGTGCTACCGACCTTCCTACTGCTGAACGAGTCTCTGAAGACCTTCTTGGCTGAAGAAGGATGCAAGGCCTCTAAGTCTAAACTCCAGTGGTGCCAGCCCTCAGTGGTCTTCTTGGGACATTGCCTCTCCCATGGCATCCGCCACCCTACTAAGGATAGGGTTCTTGCCATCTTGAATCTACCAGTACCCTCTGCGCATCAGTACTTGCCTTCTTAGGCCTCATCCCGTATTGCAGATCCTGGATCCCCAAAGCTTCTCACCTTATGCAACCGTTGTATGATGCTCTGAAGAGCGAACCCTTCACACTCTCACCCCATGCCCTAACCTGTTTCAATGCTCTGAAGAAAGCCATTAATTCTGCACCTGCCTTGGGACTACCAAATTATCAATTACCCTTCAAGTTGTTCGTGTTTGAAAAACAAGGCCATGCCTCTGGAGTTCTTACTCAACAACATGTTATGAGACAAAGACCCATTGGCTATTTCTCCTGTATGCTTGATCCTGTTGCCAGAGGTAGTCCCTCCTGCCTGAGGGCCGTGTTCGCTGCCAGTGCACTCTTGGATAAAACTAATGCTTTCATTCTTGGTCACTCCGTGACTGTTCTGGCTTCACATGATATTTCTGCCATCCTCCAACAGATTCAACCAAAGCATCTCTCTTCTCAACGTCATCTACGTTTACAAACATCCTTACTACTGCCTGACAATGTTACTTTGCAACGATGTTATTCCCTGAACCCGGCCACTCTTCTCCCTCTTCCCAAGGGGGGAGTGGCACAGTACTGGTACAGCCTGGATATCAACCCAGATGCCCGGATGAAATTTCAACTACCTATTCTTAAACCCCCACATGACGTGCAACCAGAAAATTTACTACACTGTACCCTGTAGTTCAAAGACAGCCCAGGTCCTGATGGGGACTATGAAGAGGAGCTATTTCAACTTGTAGAAATTCACATCACACTGACAGACTTAGTGTGGGACTCCAGAGGCAACATGGTCCTACTGGTGCACCTTCCAACTGAAGTATCTCACCATTAGCGCCATTGGGAGACAGCTGTCCCACATGTATCCCTCACTAAATCTCCTGACTCCTTGTGGAAAGACCTAGGCCCAATGCCCAAATCCTGGAGTGTGATGACCCAAGAACAGCTTGAAGCCATGGGAGTAACTAAAAAAATCATTAACTGCAACACAGTGGGACACCCTCGCTACCACACAGAAATTTGTGAAGACCCCCCCTATGGAACAAGACTCAAAAGCTCCTCATGATTGCTTTGAGCAAATGAAGATGGAAACCACACATCTACCAACTGTACATGAGACTGCTCTACCTAACCCAGACCAGACACTGTTTGTGGATGGCTCCAGATTTGCTGATGAACAAGGCCACTATCACACCGGATATGCAGTTACCACAGAATGTCAAATACTACAGGCAACCGCACTTCCACTAAATCAGCTCAAGAAGCCAAATTAACAGCCCTCACAGTGGCCTGCAAGTTAGCTGAAGGCCTACGGGTCAACATTAATACAGACTCAAGATATGCCCTGGGAGTGGTGCATGACTTTGGCTTAATCTGGAAAACCAGGGGATTCCTCACGGCTACCGGCACCCCGGTAAAACATGGCGCAGCCATTGCAGAACTGATGGATTCATTGATCCTTCCAGTAGAAGTGGCAGTGCTTAAAGTGAATGCCCACGGGAGATTGCCTCGTGCTTCTTCTGAATTCAACCGCTTGGCTGATCAAGCCGCCAAAGAAGCAGCACGACAAGAATGGGAATTGGACAGAAGAGTGGCTATTGAGACCACACCCATTTATACTATGCAAACCTTGCCTACAGACCTGAGGCTCCTGAAGGAGCAACAAGCTGCTGCAACCCCCCCAAGAGAAACAGAGCTGGAAGAGCAGAGGGGCCATTCTCTGAAATGATGTTTGCACTATCAATCTTAAGTTCTGTCTACCCAAGAATATGTATCCAGTTGTTGTCCAGTGGGCCCATGGGCCTGCCCATCTGTCAAAACATCTGATGAATTCTTTGAATGATAAGTATTTTGAAGCACCAGGTATCACTACCCTGACACAGAACTATTGTAAATCTTGTGCAATTTGTGCTAAATGTAACCCCGGGAAAATTATCAAAACCGCACCGACTGCTTGGCTAAACCGCAGTACCCTTTCCAGAGAATACAGATTGACCACATACAGATGCCGAAAAGTGGACGTTATGAATACGCATTAGTCATTGTGGACATGTTTTCAGGATGGCCAGAAGCTTTCCCAGTGGCCAATCTCACTGCAAGGACCACGGCCAAGCATCTTCTGATGGAAATTGTCTGCCGGTATGCAGGGACGTATTAGCCGCGAGGCAAACAAGGCATTTGCCTTGGGCGGCATTTTTCAGGGGGCGGCAAAAAACGCCGCCCCCCAAATGCCCAGGGCAGATGCCTTGTTAGCCTTGCGGCTAACTGACATCCCGGGCGGCCGGCGAGGGAGCACTTCCCATGAGCTGGCTGCTCAGCTCCCTCGCGCACCGCAAAGTGAGGCTGGGAGCCGGAAGGTTCCCAGCCTCACTCTGCAGCCGACGCGCGAGGGAGCTGAGCAGTCAGCTCATGGGAAGTGCTCCCTCGCCTGCCGCCCGCACGCTCGCCCGCCTGCCAGCGCCGCCCGCCCTGCAGCCACTGGACCACCAGGGAGAGAGACCCCCCCCCCCAGCACTCCCAAAGGTAAGGAGGTTGGGGGGGGATTTAAATTAAAAAAAAAAGTTAATGTGTGTGTGTGTTTGTGAGTGTGTGTGTGTGTTTGTGTCTGTGTATGTGTCTGACTGTGTGTGTGTGTGTTTGTGTCTGACTGTGTGTGTTTGTGTGTGTGTTTGTGTGTTTGTGTGTGTGTTTGTGTGTGTGTGTGTGTCTGACTGTGTGTGTGTCTGACTGTGTGTGTGTGTTTGTGTCTGACTGTGTGTGTCTGACTGTGTATGTGTGTGTGTCTGACTGTGTGTGTGTTTGTGTATGTGTCTGACTGTGTGTGTGTGTATTTAGAAGGTGGGGCGGGGGGAAGGGTTGGGTGAGGGTGGCGCGGGGGGGAGTGGGGCGCCTGAGTTTTGTCCTGCCTAGGGCAGCACAAAACCAGGATACACCACTGCCGGTATGGAGTTCCAGAAGTGATTGAGAGTGACCAAGGAACCTCCTTTACTGCCTCATTCGCACGAGAAGTCTGGGCAGCACTGGGGGTGACCCTTGCCTTCCACACACCCTATCACCCACAGAGTAGTGGTAAGGTAGAACGCATGAATGGCACACTGAAAGCCAGATTGCTCAAAATGTCCCAGGAAACTAGTATGCCCGGGCCAGAGAGCCTTCCAGTAGCACTATTTAGCGTGAGATACACTCCTAGGGGCAAACACAGCTTATCACCTTATGAGATTCTGTTCGGCACAGCACCAAGGTTAGGTTATTACTTTCCCCAACAACTTCAAATACAGTCAGATGCAATGGTAGACTATGTGACTGCTCTCTCTCATGCCTTAACCAAAATCCATGCCCAAGTGTTTTCTTCTATTCCAGATCCTGAGTAGAACACAGGTACACACAAGTTGCTCCCAGGTGATTGGGTTATGGTCAAGAAATTTCTCAGGAAGCACACCCTTGAGCCAAGATTTGATGGTCCCTACCACGTGCTCTTAATTACAGCTACTTCAGTAAAATTGGCTGGGTAAAGTTCCTGGATCCACGCCTCCCACTGCAAGAAAGTGCCTGCTCCAGCAGAAGCTGACCCTGCTGCATAATAATGTTGTTGCATGTTTTATATTTTCCTATGCTGCTAGACTTTGCATGGGCCCAACAGGTGGCCATAACCAAAGATAACTAGGTTTACACATTTTGGTACAATTCTTCAAACACAGATGTAGCTACTTATACCTTTGATTACTGTGATATTGTTGCTTGCACCTTTCCACAGACACAGTATGCTGCTATATACAAAGACATATCCAGTAAGAAAGACCCATACATCTGTGTGAAAGGGGGTGCATGGGGACAAGATTGTAGTTCTTGGAAGGCAGCTGGGTGGAACACAGGTAGATCATGGGGATACAGCCCTCAGAACGCCTTTGACAGAATTGATAAAGATGGAAAATCATTACTCTCTAGAATGACTCTAAATAAACCCATTGGGTCGACACCTATTAAACTTACCCTAAACATAGAACTCCCCAGTCCGGGAGATGCAGGAGAGTATGTACTGGAGAGGCGGTGGTTCATACAATAAGCTAGGGACATTCTACTTGCAAGACATGCTCAACTCATCTGACTGGGTAGGAACTTCACATATGACTATTAACCCATTTAAGCCTCACATCAGGACTCTACGTGACATGGTCGCTATTGCTAACCCTACCTTTGAAGACACCATGGCTGTGGAAACTGGGTTCTCTGACACTAACCTGTGGCTTGAATGGATGAGATATAATGCTAACTCCCACAATAAGACCAACTGTTATTTTTGTGGAGGGGCTAGGCCCCATCTGGGTACAGTACCCTTGAATCTATCTCCTGATATAGAATTATGTGTCTTAAGTCTTTATGCACAATCCACCACCAATTCTTCAACGTGTGAATCATGGAAAAAGGTCTATCCAATTACCCAGGGACATGTTAGACCACCTGATGGAGTATACCCAGGGACGTATTAGCCGCGAGGCAAACAAGGCATTTGCCTTGGGCGGCATTTTTCAGGGGGCGGCAAAAAACGCCGCCCCCCAAATGCCCAGGGCAGATGCCTTGTTAGCCTTGCGGCTAACTGACATCCCGGGCGGCCGGCGAGGGAGCACTTCCCATGAGCTGACTGCTCAGCTCCCTCGCGCACCGCAAAGTGAGGCTGGGAGCCGGAAGATGACGTCATCTTCCGGTTCCCAGCCTCACTCTGCAGCCGACACGCGAGGGAGCTGAGCAGTCAGCTCATGGGAAGTGCTCCCTCGCCGGCCGCCCGCCCGCCCGCCTGCCAGCCAGCGCCGCCCGCCCTGCAGCCACTGGACCACCAGGGAGAGAGACCCCCCCTCCCCCCCAGCACTCCCAAAGGTAAGGAGGCTGGGGGGGGATTTAAATTAAAAAAAAAGTTAATGTGTGTGTGTGTTTGTGTCTGACTGTGTGTGTTTGTGAGTGTGTATGTGTGTTTGTGTATGTGTCTGACTGTGTGTGTGTGTGTGTGTTTGTGTCTGTGTTTGTGTCTGTGTATGTGTCTGACTGTGTGTGTGTGTTTGTGTCTGACTGTGTGTGTGTATGTGACTGTGTGTGTCTGTGTGTGTTTGTGTGTGTGTTTGTGTGTGTGTTTGTGTCTGACTGTGTGTGTCTGACTGTGTGTGTGTGTTTGTGTCTGACTGTGTATGTGTGTGTGTGTGTGTGTGTCTGACTGTGTGTGTGTGTGTGTTTGTGTCTGACTGTGTCTGTGTATGTGTCTGACTGTGTGTGTGTGTGTGTGTATGTGTCTGACTGTGTGTGTGTGTTTGTGTATGTGTCTGACTGTGTGTGTGTGTATTTAGAAGGTGGGGCGGGGGGAAGGGTTGGGTGGGGGTGGCGCGGGGGGGAGGGGGGCGCCTGAGTTTTGTCCTGCCTAGGGCAGCACAAAACCAGGATACACCACTGAGTATACCGGTATACCCAGGTACTTACACTTGTTACACAATACCTAAGAACACAGGCACGTTTTTGGGCAAATTTCCATCTGGCTACTGTTCCACTTATCATAATCCTCCTATAGCCTTATTAATAAATCATGTGAAAACAATCGGGGACATATACTGGCTGTGTGGTGATAGGCTGTTGAGATCCCAATTAACAGGGCTGTGGTGGGGGAGTGTACACTGACCAAGGCCATCATGCCTATCCATATTATCCCAGATGGCCATCATCACACATTTGATTCCACACACACTCTTTCCAGAGTCAAAAGGGAAACCCCAATTCGTGGTAGCTTCGATCCACATGTTCACATTGATGCCATTGGTGTGCCAAGGGGGGTACCTAATGAATTCAAAGCAAGAGATGAAGTAACGGCTGGGTTTGAATCTTTGATCCCGATGATTACCGCCAATAAGAATGTTAATTGGATTAATTATATCTATAACAACCAGCAGTGGTTTGTTAATTATACTACAGGGCCTGGCAGAGCAATTGCAAGCTACTACCCAAATGACTTTTCAAAATAGAATGGCCTTAGACATGATTTTAGCAGAAAAGGGGGGCGTATGTAAAATCCTCCCCGAGACCATGACATGTTGTACATATATTCCAGATAATACTGGACCCAATGGCAAGGTAACTATGGCCATAGAAAAACTGGATAGCCTCTCAGATGAACTAAAACACAACTCAGGGGTCACTAATGTATGGGATAAATGGTTTGGGTGGATGAATAGCTGGCAGAGAACCCTGTTCCAAGTTGGTACAGCTGTCCTTACAGTGTTTATCATTTTCTTAATTTTGACCTGCTGTGTATTACCTTGCATACAGAAGTATTTGCAGAAGGCAGTAGGGAAGACTGTAGATAACACGACCCCTACTTTCATACATCAAGATGCCACTGACGTAGATTTAGAATGTGACACACCACATACACCCCTTCAGCCCCACCAGTCCAGACAGACAACGGCATTCTTGTAGGGATAGTATACGGAAAGCGTCTGTCTCTACGGGCTAGTCTCACGTGCAGAGATGTGGTGGACTAGCCGCTGCGGGTTACCCACGGAGTGAAGTGTTCGATGCTCGTTAAGACAGATGAGCTGCAGGCAGTAATAGGGACAGTAGCAGTTGTCATGGTAAATAGCCATTTTAAGGGGGGACTGTTGTGGAAATAAGATATTGATGTATTCTTTAAGCTTAGTAAAATGTCTATTTACTCATCTAACCAGAATCAGTATCTAAGCTACTAACACGTGCACAGACAAAATGGCCACTAGAGGCTTCTAGAACTCCCTCCCCCTCCCCTTCCCTATAACACCGACTAACTACCTCGTGTAACAAGATGGCACTGGAACCAGGGGGAGACCCTCATGGTCCCAGTGACATCACCTATAGTAGGCAGAGCGTTAAGAAGACCACTTAACACCTAACCAATTGTTTGAGTATTATTTCTTGTTATCTCTGACAATGCTTATGATGTAATTTTGCTTTAAAAGGGACCTGCCGTCCCCCTTTAATAAACATTCCTCAAGTTATTCATCAACCTGAAACCTGTGTCTGGTGTGAATTACTTCAGGGAGCGTGCACGCATTGTTTCTCAATTTGTCCAGGGGCAGATACACAAAGAATAATCAACTGATTGAATTGATTTCCATAACATTTGCATTTTACTAATTTATTGCACCGACACACATTATATACCGTTTTTTAAAGGACAGAAAGGGCTTTAATTTGATGTAACACACATATAAATATAATATGTATATGTAGAAAGGATGCACTCTTCGGTCTTCAAATATTACAAAATTATTTATTCTATTACATGGTATGTAACAAATTGATAAACGTTTCGACCCGTTTGGGTCTTCCTCAAGATCTTGAGGAAGACCCGAACGGGTCGAAACGTCGATCAGTTTATTACATACATGTAATGGAATAAATAATTTTGTAATATTTGAAGACCGAAGAGTGCATTTTTTCTACCTATATATTGTATACTACTTCGGCGTGGGATAGCACCAGGGCATTGGATTTTACAGTATACCAGCAAGGGTGAGTGCCATTATACATATACTATATATATGCTTATTTATTATTAAAAAAATACAGAAATATGCAAAAAAAATGAAACTTTTTGTGTTTTTTTTTTTTTTACAGTTTTTGCAATAATAATGTGTGCATAATTACTGCAGGTTAAGGAAAGTAATTAAAAATAAATTTAGTTGTTCTGATTTACAGAATATATAATGTGTCTGGGATTTTAAGTTTTTTTTTTTTTTGGTAATTACAGGTCACAATGCACAAGGAGTAAAATAAACTTTTAATGTGGAGCGATTTTTAGAATTTGGTATGTTTGTCTGTCTTTTAAGCTTAATAGCCATAAAAGAAAACAAAATTGCCACTCAAAAGTATTTATATAAAGTAGACATCACAGGCTATTTACCTAAGGTTGTTTTGACACTTTCTACGTAGCCATTTCACCGCCAACCTCTGCTAAATATTGGAGTAAAATTGTGTTTTTTGTTTTTTTTTGGCACACAAACTTATAACAAAGAACTTCTTTTGTGTATTTTGTAAAGTTGGTGTGTGCTATTCCTGTACAAAGTTTTATTTTGTGTTCAGTTACATCTGCTGAGTAAAATGACACCCCCATTGTATGTCTTTGGCACTATTTCGTGAAGCTACAGTGTAGGAGACCTGTCCTTTTCAGTAATCACAGTAGAATTTTGAGACAACATTTTGAGTAGACACTCCATGGTATCTCATAAGGTGCAAATTGTGCCTTAACATGCCGCCATTTTTTCACCAATAGATGCCAAAGTATGTGGTAAAAAAATATTTTGTGCGTTTTTTTACATATGGATTGCATTTGTGCTGGGCATTTTGTATATTTCACATGTGCCACTAAGTTCAAACCCCCCAAATTATGCTTGGCTAAGTCTTCTGAGTAAAAAGACACCCACATTGTATGTCTTTGGCACTATTTCGTGAAGCTACAGTGCCATATAGGAGACCAAGCCATATCAGTTTTTACCGAACTTTGAATTTTGACGCTGGGCCTATGTGCAATTTCCAAGCATCTTAGCAGATTTTAAATTCAAACTACCCCACAAAGGCCTACTGTAATGCCAAAAGCATGAGTTGGTGTTTGATGTATTGATATATGTTAAGAGTTGTTGTTTTTTTGTAAACCTTGGGATGACATTTATTGTGGTCTTTGATCTGGCACCAGGCCTAGACCATAAAACATCTATGTCACGGCAAGGGTGTATAATTTATTATGAGACTATGGAATATCATCTTTTAATGTGATTTCTTGTAGTAAATGGCACAAATTACAGAGATGCTATTGCTGAGGTCAACAGGGGTTACATCTTTTGAAGCTGGGACCCCCACAGAGGTCAGATGACAGAAGGGGTAGTGTGAATGGCATAGGAATGTGAAAAGGATTTTACTATATGGATGTGAAGTAATAAAAGCTCTGTAAGGTGTGAGGTTCTACACTTGGAAAAAGTCTGAATGTCTCTTCATCCATTTGGCATGTACCTTGTAAGGGATGAGTAAATCTCTTTGATATGTAAATGCCATTAGCTTTGTTCTAGTATCATATCCAAAGGAAGGACAAAAAACATTCATATTTACCCCCACAGAATAATAATAAAGCCTCATTTTTGTTATATTTGGAATGTGACAAGCGCCATCTTCTAACCAAGTCCAAACATGAGTGGCCTAACTTGACCCTAGGGAAAGGAATTGTGATGTCCGTCCTATTGGATAGTGGGTGGGACGTGCAACATATCTATGGAATGGGAAAATAATAACAAATTTGTAGATGCAATTATTATTTCTGTGGCAGGTACAAAAAAGAAGATAGAGTCAAATGTTTCCATTTGGACTGACAGTGGTCTGGAACAAAGGAGGTGGTCAGTTATTATTACTGTAGGTATGCCTTAACTCCACCCCTGGGCAAGACTTGATAAACCACAGGGTATATATCTAATGATCCTGAAGGGTATTTGTGTACTTGCTTGGGGCCAAGATCTAATTTTGAGTGAGTCACCATCTTTCCTTGCCAGAGACCCCCTGGACAGAAGTTGTACTTTGAAAAAACCTAAGTGAGTAATTAGGACTTCTGTATTTTATCCTTTTTGTTTTTATCTGTTGTTGGTGTAAATAATTTGTTTATCATATATTTTTATATGCACTGTGACTATCTTTTGCTCATAATAAATATTCCTTTATTAAGTTTTGCCTTTGTCTGGTTAAAAATCACGTTACCTGAAGAGACTAGTTAGTATTTTTATAATTCCTTAAATATTGTACTAAGTAATATTTGGTGGGTTTTATTATTGATTTACCTGGGGGACCAAGGCACCCCATTTATAAATTGTCTTGGTGGTGGCAGCGTTAAAGTAGTAATAGTTATATTATTATGTTTAAGTGTGGGTGGTGTTAAAGGGGGATTTTGTCATTATTTCCGGTCTAGTGCAGACAAATAGTGTACTTTAACCCTTTCACCACCACAACTACGTCACGCACACTCTTGGAGTAGGGTGCGTTCGTGACAAATTGGTGGCATAGCGGTGGGATAACTAAAAAGATTTTTCATCTTTTTGTACCAGATTTTAGTGTTGCTGGATTTGTTGGTTAATCCAGGCACTAAAAGAAATTGTGTCTCAATTTCCAAAGGCTGAACTCAGTGCATATATAATATATTTACACCTCAACAGTCCCCCCCCCTTCTCTGTTTTTTCTTTGCTATCTTTTATTTACTAAATGGAGTACCAGACGCAATCCAAGGCAGCGCTAGACCAGCTTTGCCGGGAGAGATCTATTCCCTGTCGGGGAAAAACAAAAGAGGAACTATTGCAAGCACTGGTGGACTATGATATGCAACAAGCAGTGCAAAATGATGTCTCAAACACTGCAGAGGAGATACCTGCAGCTTTTGTCCGTGATGTACCAAGTTCTGGAGATCCTTTGGATTGTTACTTACAAACTGTGTTGAAATATATGGACTCAGCAGACTCAAACCAAAGACTACAGCTTATCCTTCAATATCCGGAGACTGCAGAGCAGCAGGCTGAGAGAGAGGCTGCAGAGCGACAAGCTGCCAGAGAGCTTGAGCTAAAAATGGCTGAGTTGGAGAGGTTGACTGCCTCCCCTATAAGTATTAATTCCAGAGACTCTTCTGCACCCAAACCACGTGCAGAGAATTTCCCAACTTTGGACAAAGATGGTGATTTGGATGTTTTCCTGCGCAGTTTCGAAAAAGTTTGCAGGCAGTACCAGCTACCAAAGGACCAGTGGGCAAAATACCTCACCCCTGGTCTCAGAGGTCCTGCACTGGAAGCATTTGCTGCGCTTCCAGCAGAATCTGACCAGGACTATGATGCGATTAAAGCTGCCTTACAGGAACGGTACAACCTTACTCCTGAGGTGTACCGAAAGAAATTCAGGACTTTGCAAAAGCATCCCACGGAAAGTTATGCAGCAGTTGTGGGGCACCTGGCGACAGCATTCTGACAGTGGACTACAGGGCTGGAGATTACCACTTTGGAAAGTTTGCAAGACCTGTTAATAAAAGAACAGTTTTTGCAGCTCTGCCCAGCTGATGTACAGGAATGGCTGCTGGACCGGAACCCCAAAACAGCATTGGAAGCGGGTAAGCTTGCAGATGTCCACACTGCCAATCGAGCAACAGTGGACCGAAGCAGAGGTTTTGCCAAGGGAACATCCAGCTGGAGGACCACACCACCACGACTCCCCATCGCCAGGCCTAGCGGGCCATCTTTTGTTTCAGCTCCTACCTCAGGGAGAGGGGGAGCTAGTGCCATGTCTGCGCAAGGAGATAGTCGCAGATGTTTTATTTGCAACCAAGTGGGGCACATTAGTGTTGCTTGCCCTGGGAAACGGCAGCCAGCATCATCAGCTGGGGAGGGACGCTCCTCAGAACCAACGTCCTCTGTGTTGTTTGTAACCAGATCAGAAGGCAGCAACAATGTGAATCTGCAACCTGTGACAGTTGGAAGAGAGGTAACTGTGGGACTCAGGGACACTGGGGCAGATGTGACTCTTGTGCGTCCAGAGCTAGTGTGCTCTGAGGACTTAATTCCTGGCAGGACTCTAGCAGTTAAAGGAATTGGGGGGGTACGACTTGTAGTGCCAATGGCACGAGTTTATTTGGATTGGGGAGCGGGGAAGGGTTTCAGAAATGTGGGGGTAGATGAGAATATCCCTGCAAATGTATTACTTGGTACTGACTTAGGTAGATTGTTATCCCAGCATGTGCCAGAAAGTAATGTGTGTTATAAACCCAAGCCTCATAGGGGCCCTACTGTGCAGAGGGCAGTATGTGAAAATGAATGCAGACAATTGTGCTGGGAGGGAGGGCAGAATAAGCATGTGTGCGGGTCTGTGCCTGAACCAGAGGTGTCTGCAATATCATGTGGGAGTGTGCCAAGACAAAGTTGCTGGGAGGGAGGGCAGAATGAGCATGCGTGCCAGGCTGTGCCAAAACCAGAATTGTCTGTGGTATCAGGTGAAAGTTTGCCAGGGCAACTTCGCTGGGAGGGAGGGCAGAAT